GCTCTGGAAACACAATGCTAAGGAGAATGGACTATCTCGGCAAACGGAACTGGAAGGGTGACTGTAACAGCATGGACATCCCCAAGTGGACCCGTAGAGGGTCTCACCGGGTCTGCCATCTTTTAACTTGGGGGAGCTATGTGACGACATGGTGATCAGTTTATAAGTTAAATGTGTATTGGTGTTGGGTTATGTTTGAGTGCGTTATGCTGTGTGACCTGGTTATGGAAAGAGTATCAGCACCATCCCTCGTTATCTCCCATTGTTCTCTGAGGGAGCTCAGAACAATGACATTCTGGCCAGGCTCCTGCTATGGCTGTCTGGAGTTCGTTAGCAGGTGGACACCTGTGGTGTTGAGCAGACCGATGGTCTGGGAGGGGAGGGGGATGTGATGGGATTATATTCTGATTTCATCACTTGCTGTATATAAGTTTGTCCAGTTGCTCAATAAAGCAGAGTTTGTTTACCCTACACTCAAGCCTTGGCTAGTGACTGGGGAAACTGGGAGCTAAGGATCTTCAGGTTCCAATATCTCCTCAGCAAGGAAGAAGACAGCGGCGGACATACTCATCCTGAGTACGGGGGTCCGTCACAGGGGAGTCTTCATCCGCGGGGATTCACCAGTCCTCCCATGCCGGTCAAGGTTCACGCCAATTCGGACCAGGATGTAGGGAGGCAGCACATGGAGGAGGCCTGTCCCGCCTCCTAACAGGGTAAGTATTTCTTCTCGGTGTTGCCATCTCACCTGTGTGTTGGAATACACATTACAGTTTCATATATTAAGTTGTAATAGTGTTACAAATGTAATTTGTGTTACAGGGGGCAGACTCAATGGGACAGCCAGTGGACAGGTGCACTGCTGGTTGGCTGGTGGGGGACCCAGACGTAAAGCTGTGTAAGGGGCCCCAAAGTTTCTTATAGCTGCCCTGATAAGGTGAAAGGGGTGACCCAAGCGATACATAGCCTTTGCCACTCTGATGACCTCCAATAGCGGCCACAGGACACGGCGCATGCAAAGCGTGTGGCGGGACAAATCTGGCATAACCTGGATCCTAGCCCGGTTGAAGTCCAAGGGGCCTTTGTTCCAAGCCTGACGGAGGATTTCCTCTTTGATGGCGTAAAAGTGGACTCGGTACAGGACATCTTGCGGAGGACCCGACAGGGCAGCTCGAGGACCCTGGGCCCCATGCACTCTATCCAGTTCAATGGACGTGGTTGGCGGCCTGTCCAGATAGTGGTTAAGGATAGCCGCCACTGTGGACCGAAGGTCAGGACCCGCAGTGGCCTCTGGGATCTCTTTCAAACGCAAATTATTCCGACGGTTCACGCTCTCCTGGTTGTCCACCTGGAGGCAAACGGATGCCAGGTGATGTCCAGCCTGAGACTGGGCAGATTCAAGGGCCGCCATCTGGTCCTGCAGGGAGAAGGGCACCGTCTCCACTCCAATGACCCGGCAACCCAAAGTGGATATATGTTGCTTGACCTCAGGAGATCCTGCCGTAGTGCATTCACTATTTTGGACGCTATGCCATCCAAGGTCCCTCTTCGTGGGGAGCTGGAGGAGAATAGCCTGCCATTCCTCCACACCATGATGGGACAGGCCCGTGTTAGCAGAGGTCGGACCCAGAGGGGAGTTAGCAGGAGGGGAGTCAACAGCGGGGAGCACAGGGGTGAGTATGGGTGAGGGCGGGGGGCTTGGGCGATGTACGGGAGCGTCTGCAGGCTGAGCCGTGATCTTAGTCTGCTTCCTGGCCGGAGACAGACCCGTAGTCGCTGACTGGATCGTCATCATCTTAGAAGCCGGCCGCGACGAGCTCTCGGCGGAAGTGCAGGACAAAAAAAACCCAATCAAATCGGGCTGTTAATGGCCTCGGGTAGAGCTGGGGAGAGTCTTCTCCTTCGGCATGGAGTAAAATCCGGGCTGACAAAGTCAATTAGGCTTCCGCCCCAGCTCGATCAGCACAGAGCTCCTGTGAAGTGCAGCCTCACTCCATGTTTCGGCCACACCCCCTCCCCATTAGCATTTAACTGCCCTCTTCTAGTGCCCACAAAGCTGATATCCAAGCCAGAAGTATAATGCTGAAGAACTTTTATTAACCACTTGCTGACCGTGGTGTTAAACCCCCTTCCTGTCCAGGCCATTTTTCAGTATTTAGCGCTGCAGTGCTTTGACTGACATTCATTCCGTAATGCAACGCTGTACTGAAATTAATTTTATACCATTTTTTGGGGACAGATAGAGCTTCCTTTTGGTGTCATTTAATCAGTAATGGGGTTTTAATTTTTTTACTATATAATAAAAAAGTTCAGAACATTTTGGAAAAAAACTGTTTTCATATAAAACATGGGCCCGCGAAATCACAAAAAACTACCATGCCTAAAACTGGCCATAGGCGACACTTTAAAAGCTTGTACTGCTCATCAGTTTAGTGTTATCAGTGATTGATGGCCCTCAAATGATTGCTCACACTTCTACGTTTGCGGCGATATGTAATATGTGTGGCTTAATCGTTGTTTTCGCATGTAGACGCACCTGACCCATTTTTACGTTTATATGTGCGTGCATATTTAGGCGTTTTTTAAATTTATTTTTTATTTGAGACTTTAATTTTTTTTTCTACACTTAAAACAGGTCCCTTGTATGCTATCACATAGGGGGCTAGCAAGCCCTCTATGTGATAGCTAATATACAATGACAGGTCCTCTTCATGGCAGCATCAGGGGTCTCTAAGACCCCTGTCACCTCGGGACCCCCAAAGAAGCTGATGAAGCAGAGATCTGCTTCACCAGCTTCTTCTCTGGCGGCCAGAGAAATGACAGCTAAAGGCAGAAGTGATGTAATACACATCGCTTCCGCCTTTAGAGAGAGAAGGGAAGAGATCAGCAGTGGGGAAATGCTGATCTCTCCTCCATTCTCAGTACAGGCAGCTGCTGTGCTGGTCCCTGGCCCACAGGGGGGACAGCGGAGCCCGGGATAACTGGCAGCGGTGTTAGGGGGGGAGCATGGCAGCTGAAGGGGGAGGGGGCAGCAGCGGAGGGGACGTACACATTTTACTTTCATACAAGCAATGAACTGGCTGTTTAAATTCCCTGTGGGATCTTCGCTTGCACGCGCCCGTGGAAAAAAAATCTTGTAAATATACATCCACCCGCTGAGAAGAGTCCGCAGTCAACCCGTGTTTTTACAATGGGCGGACGGCAACTGGTTAAACATATTCACTCTGGGAGAGAGGGTATAGGGATCATAGACATCCAGGGCAGAACAGACATAGGCTCCAGACTCAATAGTCCCTTTTAGTAATTCAGTGTAAATCCATTTGTAGCACAGTTGAATAGGAATTTGAGTAGCAGATGAGCAGGGATGAGCACAAATTTTCCATAGGAGAGACACCAGAGTTGCTCCAGAGGTCCAATATGTTACGGGCACCTCCAGGAGCCATCAGCTTGACTGGTTCTCCTCGTCTGATATCAGCAGAGGCCTCCTCCAGACTTGAAGCCTGGCAAAACACTTCCCGCACTCAAGCATCCCCCCCCCCCAGGCCACAGGCCTAGCTTGAGGATAGGCTGGACAACACCCCAACCTGGGCTAATCCGTGGCTGGCACAAGACTGAGCATATGGAAATTCCCTTGAGTATATAAGCACTTACCCAGCATGCAACACTGGTTAAGAGAGACCCAGTGATTGGCCGATGAACTGCAGACACAATCACAGTGTCCCTCATTGGATGTCCCACACTACAGCAGAGTCACACTCCACCCAGGTAGGTAAAATCAATGTCAGAACACCTGGAATTAACCAGATAGATAAATGGCAACTATAATTCAGCCAGACTGACTACAGCTCTGGTAACTACTACATTTCTAGTAGCCACCTCACAAAAGGTGATGGGGGCTACACACTACTGTATATACACATATATATATATACAGTATATATACACAGAGACATATATATGTGTTTTTCTGTGTAGGTATATAGAGAAATGTATATATGTATAAGACTTTATTTTAATACATAAATAAATGTGGCTTTGGGGTAGAAAACATGCGTCACATGCAATCCATTCCACACTTCCATATACCACATACATACTCCATTTTCTTCTTTGTACCAGTAAGGACCAAAGGTTTAACTTTCCATATCCAATAAGCTGTACTACATTTTAAAAGTCAAACATTCTGTTTTAGAAAGGGATTAAACAAAGCAAACACCACAAGCAAGTTTTACAATTCTCAAGACTACATTTTGCATTCGCCATTAAATTCTTACCTTCATAGCCTGAGTATCTTTTACAAGGACAGATCGGAGCTGACCATTGAGCTCAAAGAACACCTCCCTTTGGCCAGCTTTGTTCAGATCCCCCAGAGCAAGTGCTTTAATATGCAAAGTTTTTCCTTTTTCCAGTTCAACCTGAAACATCAAAGCCAAAACACCTGCTGAGTAAACAATATTGCTGTGAGGAATCAATACATACTACAATGTTATCTGCTCTTCCAAAGCATTCGACTTATTACTGGTATTTTTGAGAAGACTTGACACATTTCATTTTTATTCCACAATTTATCTTCAGCAAAGTAAGTATATTTTGCCTCTTTAAAAACAACATAATTTTAAGACATTATTGATGATTTTCATGATTTCTAGCAATATGGTTGTTGCTCTGTACCAGGGGCGGACTGGGCCGGGGGGCAGGGTGGCAATTGCCCCCCGGGTCTCTCTGCTGCCTTTAAAAACAGCCGCTACCCGCAGCCGTCAGGGGGCCCGTCACTGGCCCCCGCTAAATGAATCATCCGGCCGCCGGTGCAGTGGCTCCCTCCGCCGCCACTTACAGAGTACAGAGCCGCTACAGATGCGGCTCTGTACTTGGCGGCCGCTCGCTCCTCAAGGCTGACCTCTGATGCCCCCACGGGCAACCCTCTACAATGCCTGATTAGATCCAGCCAGCCCGGATCAGGCACTGTAGAGGGACGCCAGTGGGGAGGCCAGAGGTCAGCCTTGAGGAGCAAGCTGCGCCGAGTACACACCTCACGCTTGCCGCTTTTAGAACCACCCACCTGCATCCACGCTACACATGCCGCACCTCCTCCCCGCCTCACGCTTGCCGCTTTTAGACCCACCCGCCTGCATCCACGCTCCACATGCCGCACCTCCTCCCGCTTGCTGCTGCTAGACCCGCCCGCCTGCATCCACATGCCACACCTCCTCCCTGCCTCACACTCTCCGCACGCCTACATCCATGATCGGCACAGGGACGCGGGGAGAAGTAGTAAGGAGGAGCAGGCATGGGGGGATGACAGCCGCCGACAGACAGGCCCGATCTCAGAAGCAAGCTGCTGGAAGACTGCTCATGTGTGCATGTCATGAAGAAAGGGGTCATGAAAACAGCTGATTCGGATGACTTGGCCCCACTGGAAGTGACACAGTCGAGAACATGTATGGAATCGAGAAAAATTATAGAACACTGCCTTTGACACTGTCCGGCCCCTCCCACTAACCTCCCACAGCTCACACTCCAGAAGCATGGACAGCCAGCGGCGGTTTACAGTGGGTGAGAGTGCCTAAGTACCGGACATGGAGCATAGTAAGGCCAGAACCATTATGGAGCCCAGTGGGAGGAGAGCACCATCCCCTAGCCACTCACCGCTTTCATGGACTTACTAGGAGTCCTCACATCTCCCGACCATTCACACTACTGTTACATAGATAGCAAAAGTGGCAGACGGGCGGGGAGAATGCGGGGAAGAGGCAGAGCGGGAGTTGGGCCAAGTTCTTGCCCCCTGGGCTAAAAGTTGCCAGTCAGCCCCTGCTCTGTACCCATCTGTAATGACAATATGGAGCTATCCCATCCCACATACCCAAAGATTCCTATCTTTCATACTGTAGAAATATAAACATAATTGTACATTGAAATAGATGCATATGCCAAGGACCAGACAGAGACCTCTGGCTGTAGGTAAACTTGTAACAACAACAATATGTTGGCTGGGTATGGATATTTTTTTTCTTAATGACATTTCATGTTTCACTAACTTTACGGAATCACATACCTCAAACTCCTCTGCTATCTTGGGTCCATCTAGGAAGAGGCGGGTGTTGAGACATTCAACAGGACCAAACTGAGTGCTGAAGTCCTTATACTCTTCAAACACTTTGGGATACATAGCAGCGGACATGATGTCTTCTGATGTTATGTCATCATACTTGCTTCGCAGTCCTTCTTCTAGTTTGACAAAGTCCATTGATGGCAATGAGGCTCCAGGTCTTCCCTCAATACGTGGCAAGTCTTTCAAAACCTATGGGGACAAAGTGTATATCTTTCAAAAATTGGGTTAGTTGCTTAAAAAGACAAGATCATTTCATTACCATGCAATTTTTTTCACTAAACTGGGGCTCATCTCCTTATAAATATCTTTCAAAAATAGTGACAATTTAAAAGTGTTGACAAATTTTAAAGAACTCTGGGCAAAATTTGTATTAACCCTTGCAGTGGGGATACCCCACACTGCAAGGGTTAACTGCTTGTTTTAGTCTAAGGAGGAAAATAAAAAAGTTATACTCACTCGATCCTCCAAGCCAGCTTGCTCTTAAACTGGTCCTTCCAGCCTTCCTCCCCCTCTGCTCCAGTGGTCTAAGGTCTGTAAGTCATCACTATCCTATACACATTGTATAGGATGTGAGAATGCCAAGTGACATACCATCCCTGGAGCATAGGAGGAGACAGGCAGGATGAAGCGCTTGTTACAGCCGGCCAGCTTAAAGGATCAGGTGAGTATAACTTTGATATAGACCAACCAAAACAAGCAATTTTAATTTATAATAAAATGTTTGCCCAGAATTCTTCTTTAACCCTTTCGCTGCCAAGCCCTCCGGAACATTTTTAAAATCAGCTGGCCAAGCCATTACTGTAGATATTTACAACTTGCAAATAAATACTTTGTAGAAATAATACGTACTCCAATAATAGTTCCACAAAACTGTCTATTGCAGCGGTCTAAAAGTACCGACCCGCGAGCCGGTACTATGTGGCCCAGTTGACAAATCAGGTACGGGGTGACCGCGTACCTGACTTGCGGGAGCAGCTACATGGTCTGCATCTCTGTCGGATGCAGACCGCAGAGCTGCTCCTGTCAGCTCCAGCACTGAGATCCTTTCGGCTGGAGCTCAGTTCTGAGCTTCGGTCGAAAGGATCTATTAGTCAGGTCTGCAGCAGACCTTACTAATCACTGCTAGAGCACCAGGGATCGATCAGGCCTCCTCCTCAAAGCCTCCTTCCCTGCAAAAAGGAACCCATAATTGCACCTGAACTTACAGATATAAATGGGGCCTTATTAGTGTCCATAGTACCATAACGGATATAGTTACATTTTATTTTGAAGTATGAAATTTGGCATGCGGCCCCCATGGGAGAAAAAAAATTGTCGAGTGGACCCCGTGCAAAATGAGTTTGAGACCCCTGCCATAAACGGATAGGGCAGCAAGAGGACCCTGGCAATGTTGGCAGCGCAAATATGGCTGACTGATGTGCTGCACCAATTCTCCAGAAAGAAGATGCTGATGGCGAAGTGAGTTTGGTGCCTCTGCTGCTTAGAATCCCCAGACCCAATAGAGATCAGAGGACCCTCTCTATCCTAACAAGTGCCCAGATTCCACAGCAATATTACCCAAATTATCACAAATTAAGGTCACATGCTCGAACAACTAAACAACTGAGTACACTAAAATATAGAGACAAAAAAAAACATTTTCCGTAAGGATAGAAAACTCAACATCTTCTTCCATGGATGCAAAATTATGGTATTCCCTGACTTTGCTCTTGAGGTTGAAAAGAAAACGGTACAATTCAAAGAAGTTAAAAAGAGGTTTCAGGGCCTAGACCTTAAATACGCTATGCTTTACCTGACTACAGTGTGAAGGGCAGAGGTATTTTCAAATGTTTAGGCCACACAAAGCATCTGTAGCCATGTAACGAACTATAGGCAGCAGAAGCTTCTCCAAACACTGCAATTGCATTAGCAACATTTTACATATACAATACAGGCCATTTGGTACATATTCACCCTTTTTATCTGTTTTAGAAGTACAATTGTCGTTCTGGATGTATCGTTTTTTGCCTGCTAAACAATATTGTCTGGTTTCCCACAAGGCCAAAGTCCTAGTCCAGACTCTGCTGTGCTAGGTACTTGATAGTAACATACCTGATCTTCCGTGGCTACACTGTGATCACCTATTTCTGTTTACATCTATTAACCTCCTTCTACATCCCAGTACACCACATGGTCACCGGCACCAGCAATCCCCTAAAACATGTACTCAGTTATGCAATTGGATAGCCTTCCTATTTTTTTACCCTTTTAACGAGTCTAGTCCACACACCTCAGTTGCACCCATTAAGTTTACATGACAATAGCAAAAAATGCATTGACAACAAACAGTATGGAAAGACCTCATCCTTTATGCTACATCACTGCTCATCTTTATAAGACTATTGCTTGAAAAATAAACACACTATTATTGTGGAATGCCAGAGGTCCAAATGGCAGGTGACATTTGACAACCTGTTGCACTACTTGCCATCTGTGATTGGTCTGTAGGGGACACATACTGTATTTCTGGTGATGCTCTAAAATTCTTAAGACATGTGCGGTTTTCAAAAGCCATTATCACTCTTACTATTCCTCCTTTGCTAGGGTAGTAAGTTATCTGATACTACCAAAGAACTACATTCTCTTGCAGACAGATCCAGTTGGATAATTAAAACAGATGTGTGTCCTTCACTGTAAGATTTTTGGATGTAATAATATTGCCAATATGTAATAGCAAATATTTATATCTGGGCAACCTTTTTCAATGTGTTCCTCAAATTGTTGGCCCAGTTTTTTAGTGGTAAACTCCCAATCCCTGTACTGGAAGGGGAAGACCAACAATGTGATTTATCCTGCTGTTGGCATATTCCTGGTCCTTGGAGGAGTTTGTACCACATCTCTCATATAGTTTGGAACATTGTGTAGGGAGATCATTTTTTAGGACCTCTGGCACCTATTTCACCATGCGTCTACCCAATACTCTAGGGATAGTGAATTAAAATTCAAGGAGGTCCGGTGACCAAGATTTTCATTGAACCGAGGTTCGAATCCCAGTCCAGACAGAATGTTCACTCAGTTCGTGTCTGCACCACGGTCCTCCATTTAGGCTGCATTCACACCAGCAACTGCACTGCAATGCACAGCAGCTGATGTGTGTTCCCAGACACAGTACTGATGCATGAATCCCAGTCAGGGCAGCCTTCAGAAATGTCGGGGCCCCTTACACGGCTTAAGGTCGTCCCCCGCACTGCCGCCACGCTGAGCCAGTCACACTGTTAGTATTATACATATATATAGCTCTGACATATATATACCGCAATGCTATACAGAGAACACTGAGCCAGTCACATCAGTCTCTGTACAGAGGAGCTTACACTCTAATGCAGAATGGCACCTCTTGTAGGGGCACTACAAATCCCAGCAATACATTTATACAGCAATATGAAGTGTACTCTGGGCTTAGTTACGCACCGAACTCTGGGCTTAGTTACGCGCCGAACTCTGTGCTCAGTTACGCGCTGGACTCTGGGCTTAGTTACGCGCCGGACTCTGGGCTTAGTTACGCGCCAGACTCGGTTCTTCGTAATGCACTGGACGCAGGGCTTAGTAATGTGCTGGACACAGGACCCACCTGAGATCCCACACAGCCCACCTGAAAGTGACCCTGCAGAGCACACCACACATGCTGCACAGCCCATCTGAGACTCTCTATGGTGGGCTCTGCAGGGGTCTCAGGTGGGCTGGTTGGGGTTGCATCTCCCTCCCAGCTCCTCTTACCTGCTCCTGCTGCTGGTGCCTGGCCTCATCTGCCTCCGGACTGGCCAGAAGTGAAGTGATGCCCGCTACCTCTGGGCTCTTGTCTGCGCCGCTGTCAGACTAGGATAGTGATGGCGAATGTTTTTGAACCCGGGTGCCCAAACTGCGACGTAAAATACATTTATTTATCTCAAAGTGCCAATAACTTTAGTATTGCGTTGCAGTTCGGGCGCTCGGGTTTAAAAAATGTTCAGCATCACTGCCTTCGGCAAAATAAGGAAACACACATATCTCTGCCGCTGATCTCTCCTCCGATCTGTCAGGGGAGAACCTCCACGCGTGGCCTGGGCTCAGATGAGCCCAGGAAGCTGACGGTGGCACCAGCGGCCGTGGAGGAGGAGGAGGGTGGCACAGCTCCGCGCCGTACCAGCGATCCAGCGCCTGTACAGACGCCGGATCCCTTGTATTTAAACAGCAATCGTCAGCTGTTTAACACGGTACAAGAACATGGCTTCAGGAGCAGCCGTGTTCTTGGTATAACCCCTTCCAGCGGATGACGTACAGTTACGTGAACCCGCGGGAAGTGGTTAAAAAAAAAACACATGCGTAATAAAACACGCACATCCACACATATCACACACACTCATTTAAAAACACACACACATAGCTACTCGTGGCGTCCATATTTAAAAATCGAATGTACAGTGGAGACCCCCTGGCGACACCGGAGGCCTCCTCCGGTGCTGCGTGGGGCCTGGCCGCCTCCACCTCCTGGCCTGTCACTTTGTACGGCCGATACCCATGTAAGATTCCAGGGCCCCTAACATCAGTATCGGCTGTACCCCCCCTGACGGCGGCCCTGATCCCGGTGCATTAAACTGTTTTTTAATTTGTTGTTGGAATTTTATTTTGTTGACATTTCATTAAGTTCCATATGCAAAGTGCAGTGTGATGCTGTTGTACCACATCGTGGACAGATTCAGTGAAAAAAACCCAGTATCTATCAGAATGCCCCCTTACATCAGGTGTCCACATCAGAGTGCCCACTTACATCAGTTGTCCCCAACAGAGTGCCCCCTACATCAGCTGTCCCCATCAGAGTTTCCCCTTACATCAGTTGTCCCTATCAAAATGACGCCTTACCTTAGGTGTCCTGATCAGAGTGCCCCCTTACATTAGGTGTCCCCATCAGAATGCCCCCTTACATTAGGTGTCCCAATCAGAGTGCCCCTTTAAAATTCTGCTGCAACATTAATTTGGTATGAAGCCTGAGGAGCAGGTAGGCAGTGCTGAGAGAATGAGAAGAGAAAGGAGGCATGGATGGGAGGAGCTGGGGGACAGGGCAGACTTCAGGCTGCAAGGGAGAACAGATGTTCCGGCCTCATGGCAAATCTTCGCCAAGCACTC